CTGGACGGCTGAATAGGGGCCCCTGTACGCGCATGACGGCGATGGACCCCCGCATCTGGTACACACTGCACGTAATAGGAGTCTCTGGCCTGTCTGCGGGGTGGGGGAGGGGTGGCCTTTTTGCTGGGGGCCACGAGACTCGGACGGTTTTTTTTTTATTTAATTTTTTTTAATAACTATCTGCCCGCTTCTGTCGCTTCTATAGCCGTAGCAACGCAGCTGCGACGTGCAAGAGGGATGGAGGGAGGGTCCTTGTCGGGGGGGAAAGGGAGAAGAGACAAAACGTATAAGGAAAACTCTTCACCGCCTTCTGTGCCGGCGACGAGAGCTGTATAAGGCGGTTAAGTCTGGTTCCGAGGCGTTGGCCCTGTTGCCGAGCCAGGGACGGGGTGCGGCGGTCAGCCCACCGCCGGGAGGGTGTGAGCTTGTTGCACGCCGTGTGTTGTTTGGGATGGGGCGAGGAGGACCGACCATACGTATCATTGTCGTTGTCGTTGTCGTTGTCGTTGTGGTGATGGTGATGGTGGTGGTGGTGGTGGTGGTGGTGGTGGTGGTGGTGGTGATTGTCGTTCCCACCCCTGCCTTAGCCCGGCTCGAGGCTTAGTTGCAATCGCAACAATGGATTAAACGCCGTCTTGTGGCTGCACCTCGGTGACGCAAACCGCGCCTGGCCCAAATTCAGTTTAACGAACGCCGTCCCGTTAAGCCTAAACGCTCTCTCTCTCTCTCTCTCTCTCTCTCTCTCTCTCTCTCTCTCTCAAGACGGCTTCGGTTTTCTGCCCGTTGGAACGACTGGGCTCCACGGTTCTAAAACCTTGTTTGAGGACATGTCGTCTTGCTGCAACTCAAGCAGGGTGGTTGTTGGCCAAGAAGTCTCCTTTCTCCCACCACACCGCACACCACACCAAACCAAACGCCGCTGCCCCGGGGCTCGGAATTGGTTCCCGGGACGGGGGCGCCAGTCTCAACGAGGACGTAAACGGCGCAACTAGTGGAGAAGGGGGGAGAGGATGACATCTACCCAGGGAATGCGACCTTATCGGGTGCTGCAGGCAGGACACCACCCACGCAGTAGGGGGCGCGGGCACGTAACGGCCGAGGGGGGGTGATCACGCCTTACCGCACCGGCTATTGGTGTTGTCGGCATTGTCAATGTTGTCGTCGGCGCCTTCAGCTCGTTTTGGGCCGTTATGGACGAAGGGAACCCCCCACTCACCACACCACACCACACACACACGCGCACACACACACACACACCTCCTTCTGGTCCTGCTTCTTGTGTTTTGTCATCGTGGCAGTTGGCCGGGCGGTAGCGCGTTCTTCACCGACTTTTGACATGCATATATGCATTCTGCTATTGTTGTGCTTCTGCTCTCTGTCTCTCTCTCTCTCTCTCTCTCTCTCGCTCTCTCTCGCTCTCTCGCTCGCTCTCTACTCCCCCGCACCTTTCACCCCCTCCCAGTCGAGCTGTTGCGGGAAGAAAACCAAATGACAAAAAAGAAAAGAAAAAATCACGAGAGGAGTGGGAGGGGCGGAACAATGCCCAACTCGAATCTTCAAGGGGTGTGTGTACTACGTATGTGTGAGTGTGCGTGGGTGGCTTCTCGCTGCACACTGCTTTCGAAACAGGGCACAAACAAAACGGAACGGAAGACAGGGTATCGATTGCCTCCCCCGTACGGTACATCAACTTTGTCTTACGTATCAGAATTCAAAAAACATTCACAATAACTCTGAATCATTACTTTTTCCTTTATTTTATTTTTTTTTGAAAAAAATAGAAAATAAAAAAGAACCAGCCCTTGCATCTTCTGGATCCGACAGACGTCAAAAACGGAGTCAATCATGGTTTCCATCTCCGGATCAGAAACCCCCATTCCCGTAATGATTGACGCGGGAGACGAGAAACAGGCGCCCCCTTTTCTCCACGGGGAGCCCACGGGGCACACGATGACGTTATTGCCTACCCCGGATCCGACATCCAGCGAACCGCCGCCGATCGCTCCCGTGAGCTCCCGGCTCTTGACGAGTTTTGTTGATTTCCTGATTTTGCACGGGCTTTAACTTGTTCGTCGTAACCCCTTGGGCCGAATGATGGGGAAAACCCACGATCCCCATCCGCAGGGCTGGATTGATGAAGGTTGACGAAATCATGGCGACCCGGTGACAAACCAATTCCCTCCCAGATCCCCGAACAGAGTTTTCATCCCCCCCCCCCCCCCCCAGGGACCCCGAAGACCCTTATTCTCCACACGACGACATCACTGACGGACATATGACTGCTGTGACAGGCTCGCTCTGAATTGCCTCCAACACCCCCCCACACTATTCTTGTCGAAAGATCAACTTGTATCTAGATGGATCTGATGGTTTGCCCAATCCACCCGTTGGGGCGGGGGGAAGGGGGTGTGCGTCCCCGGGGATGGGAAAGTGATGAGGATCAATTCCCGAAGGCGTCAAAACTTGCCTGGCATTGACGATTCGGGGGGGGATCGGGCTTTGATGTCATACATTCCCTTGGCCATTGGAGCGTCTAGCTGGCTGCTAATACCCCACCCCTCTCTAGGAGTAGATCCAAGACAAGACAGTTGTGTTTCCTGTATCCGTAAACGGATGGCGCTCTCCCGGTGCGCGCGCATTGCCGGCCGGGCCCCCAGGACCACCTTACTCGTGCGCGGCTATCGGCTGGAAAAGTGGTTTGGCGGTCCTCGATGATGATGATGATGATGATGCCCCCCGTCCGTCATGACGTTACGGCGTATTCCTCCCGGGGAATGAAAGAGGGAAAAAAATCGCCAGACGACTCAGGACGGCGCAGGTTACATCTGGTACATCTCGAGATACTTGCAGCAAATCTTGTAGCTGGTACATTCGCCCTCGGACCGCCAGAAGTAGCTCTACGTTCCATCCTCCCCCCCCCCCCTCCCCCCGCGATACGGCCGCCCGGCCTTCTTCCCGCCGCCTGGGTTTGGCTGCAGGCCTGGTCATGACAGCTAACCCCAATGACTGGTTTCTCGCCCCAAAGCCAAGAAAGAGAAGGAGGGGGGGACGGGAAACGGTGGTGGCCAGGCGGCAGGGTAAGCTTGAACCCTTAGTACCAGGGGAGGGCCGGATTCGACGGAGCCCCAGCCGGGTCATCTCTACGAACAGGTCATTATGCGTAACTGTGCCGGGCGCAGGGCGTTCCGAGGACGAGGAAAGCCCATGTCGGTACTCGCGACTGCAACCTGACGCCTCTTATGGCCTTGCATGCCGTGACGGTGCTGGTTCGGTCGATATCAGAAACAGGAAAGGAGAAGAAGAAGAAGGGACAATTCGTTTCCCGCCACGCCTTGCTCGGTAGGCCTCGGTGTTCGTCCCCCGTCATGATGTAGCCAAACTATGTGGCTGTCGGGACCAGGCCGGCCGAAAGGGGGGGGGATATCTTCCTTCACCGTCACCTTCCACCTCCTCCACGCCAATATCCTTATTCGTTTAATGTTTCCGACTATTCTCTTTTCTCTTCTCCCACTAAACGTGCTTTCTGCAAGCCACCGGGCCTGCCTCCTCGGCCCCTCTCTCCCGGCAACCCTCCTCTTGACCTTCCGGGGCTTTGCTGCCTTTGGACGGAGGTCCGCCCTCACCCGGGTTCGTGGTCATCTAGGCAATCCGAATCCGAATCCGCATCGCAGGCCGCCGCCGGGCGCAATCGATCTATCAAGATGTTGAACGTCGGAATCACGCCACCCTCGGGTGCCCGCAACACGCCCAAGTGTCGAGTTGCCCGTGTAGCAAAACAAGCTGTCGGATATTGCTTGCAGCCATCTTCCAAGGTTCCATCGTGAGTGCGCGCGCGCGCGCGCGTGGAGCCCCCCCCCCTCCCGCTGCGTTTCAAGCGCGATCTACGTGGCACGGTCGATCAGAGGAAACGCCAAACGCGTCGCAGCTGCAGGACGAGTGGGAGCGTTGGCGGTTTGGTTTCTGGGCATGTGATGAGGGGGTTGCAGGCACTGGCCAACGAAGGGCAAATCAAGGCCCGGTAGACGAGAGTGAGTCGTCAAGCCAGCAAGTCGTCGTCGTCCATTGAATCATTGGGCATGGTTAAAGGAGGAGGGGGTGGCGTTCGTCCAATCCCTCTCAGACGTCCCAGCTATGCACAATGGCCTGAACAGCAGAGCTCGACGCACGACACATGTCTTCTTCACTATGCCTTGGCTGCTACTCCGAGTCTCCCAAAGGAGCGCGGATGTGATGCCCATGACTAGAGGCGACGGTTTCACTACAGCCTGGGGGAAGCGTATGCGCAAACTCTATCGTCACCTACTCTATTCTCGCCTGCCCCCCTCCCCTTCCCTTTTTTTTTTTCTTTTTTCCCCTTTCTCTTTTTCTGCCCAGTGTTTTGGCTTCACGCCCTCCCACTTGAGTTTGACTTGTCAGGCTGAACGATGATTAGGGGCTTGGACATCTTCGTCCAAAGGAGCGCGAACCGCGTCATTGTACTCGGAGCTGTCCGAGGTTGACTTCCAGAAGCTGAGCTCGAGTCGACAGCCGGCGTCGGCCGAGTCAGAACAAGGACACATCACGGCAACTCGGCCCCAGATCCAACGGAGAGGTTTTGCATGCGGCCCCCGCCCTCGTGACGATGCGCACCGCATCGTCGTGAGGGTGTCTTCGTGTCGTGAGCCCTCGACGTGGGTGGTTAGGCTTACTCCCCGCGAAATACATGTGTGAACCTTTGTCTCCCCCTACCCGGGCTTTTCCGAGCTCGCTCGCCTCAACTCGAACACCTTTTTTTTTCTCCCCCCCCCATAGCCGAAACACGGTTCCCGAGGGGAAGGCATACCGCCGTCTTGACCCGGTCACGACTGTCCTTTGCTACCCCGTGGGGAGAGGGGGAGGGGGTGGGATGAGGCTCTCGCTTTGGACGAAATGATTACCCCCCGCCTCTGCCGAGGTGGCCCTGCAGCCGACTCTGTAGACAACTGCCGAGATGCTGGGGTAGGAAATGCATCGATGATTTGATGTAGCGTGTTTGGTCGGCCACATGAGCTGGACGTAACAAAGGTGGAGGTCCCGTGTTGTTGAAGTAAAATTAACATAGAAAGTTGATGCAATCACGGGGGCGGGCATTGCTTGGTTGTCCCTTGGTTCTCCATCTCGGAACACGCCACCCCCCTCCTCCTCCTCACCCATTCTGGTCGGCCCGGTGGTTCCAGGGACGACGGCGGCGGCGACGATTTCGTTTCCCAATCCCCGTTCGCCGGACAATTCGCTCTTTCCTGGCTACCCGAGGCCGGAGTTCTGTCAGGGCACAAGTCCCCCGTCCTCTTGGCCGATGCTTCGACGCGTCCGACGGGCTTTGTTGCTCCGGGAAAGGTTTGCGTGCGTGCGTGCTTGCGCTTGGCCGCGCCCTCCTCGCCTCTGACCTGCGGCGTCTCACCACGTCGCAAGGTCTGGAGGCCGACCCGTCCCGGAGCAAACGACCCAGCAGCCCCGAGACGAAAGGGATCGCGGGTTCGTGGGCCTGCAATGGGCGACGGCTATGGATACACTTTTTTTCCTTTCTTTTCTGTGCTTGCTGGACGCTCCGTCGAGCTAGCGGCGGTCGCGCAGTGCTGAATCTGACTTGGCATGGGCTGAGTCCGCCCACAACTTTGTGTAAGGGTAATACGAGGCTTTCATTGGGGCGCGAAGGGCCGGCGTTCAAGGTAGCTTTCCGGTTTGTTGATTTGGGTGTGTTGGATCGGGATACCAGTTGAGTTTGGGGCGCGATCACGCGGGCTCTCATTTTCGCCATCGCCATCGTCACTTGACCTCGTCCATTTCCGTACAAACTGGCAGTCGACGAGGAGGGGGGACGGGCAATACGGAGCGGGATGGCTTTCCAGATGATGCTTCCTACGTTCGATCCAGGCGCTTTAGGCTATTGCAATTCCAGCCCGCCCCCGCGGCTGGACTCGCGTTTGGTGCAGAGGAAGTCTTGCGCCGATGGTACCGCCGCGGCGTCACAGCCCCGGTCCGCATCGCCCGGGTGACTGATGGACGCCGCGTCTCCGCCGACTGTGGGGCCGGTCCCGGCGTCGAAGCCGCGTTCCCAGTCGCCGCATACCGCGACGTCTGTCGGCGTTTCCATGTGACTGCATTCGGTTCCACGACGGTCTCGGCTTGTTAAGCTCGGGATGGGACACTGTGATTCTGCAGAGAGGGAGCTGAAAACGCCGTATTCACCGCGGATTAAATGCGCAATAGTTGGAGAACCGTCTACCGACGTGGTCATCGACTAACCGCACCAGACCTTTCAGGAGGGCAACATGTTCTTCTGATGGAACGAGTTCCACCGATTATCAAAGCCGCAGGACGCCCTATTAGATGGAAATACGACGCAGTGTTCGTCCGAGACGTAACCCGGATGCTTCCCCATGAAAGTCTACCATGTAAATCATAATCGAGTTTGCGTTCAACGCCGTGATGCAAGCCAAACTGTTGTGCGCTGATGTATGCTTCAACAGCATTGTGCGGCCAGAATAATCTCAACGTCACCACTCGACCAACCCCCCTCGGCAGAACCTTACTTCATGCGTTTTCTCATCACGATGCGCCCAAAACCCGGATTGTTTAGGACGTGCTCGGCGACGTCTCCCACACCACCCCCCCCCCCCCCCCCCCCCTCCCTCAGCACAACCATCGCGCGGCTATGCTCTCGCCTCACCCCACCCCCCTTCCCCCTTTCCTCCCATATTTCCCATTATGCCGGCAATGGTCCTCGAACAGCCTCGCCACGGCAATCCGTGTCGAAACTACCGGCTATTCATCAAGCATCTCGATATTGCGGTTGGAGAAGGAAGGGGTGGGGAGCAATCTTCGGCAGGCTGCTCATGTGGCCTCCGCCACGGCCTGCCGGAGATACCGACGCCTCCTTTAGCGGCGCAAGGCAGCTGACTATGGCCGAATCGAGCTCGAGCCCGTGAGAGCTTGGGCTCCCTGTGTGAAGCCTCCTACGTCACGGCCGATGGAGAAAAGAAAAGAAAAGAGAAAAAAAAAAGAAAACACCGGGCTTATGCCGACGTGCATCAGCAGCTGCATGTGGCCCGACATCGGATTTTCAGAAGCAATTCGCGCTGCGGACGCAGACTCTATGCCAATCAGAAATTGGCAATGCATTTTTTCTTTTTTTCTATTTCCATCTGATCGATTTCCATCATTTTTACTTTCTGCCAATCTCGCACTCCGTATCAACGACGCTGTCGATTTTGTTCTCCCCCCAAATCGAGATTCCGTTTCCCCTCCCCCTTATCTCCCCCGTGACGGGCCACAGATAGGCCACCGGCGTCCCATGCTTGTCGGGCTGCATTAAGCAGCATGTGCCTCGGCAGCTGGCGCGGGCCCCCGCTCATGCGCGATGCCAGGTGCCACCGCCTAGGCCGCCGATTTCAGAGTGCGCTCGTGACGACGGTAAGGACCGGGCAAGGGACCGGGGAGGAGGAGGAGGAGGAGGAGGATGATGATGATGGGAAGTGGGCGGGGGATGAAAGAGAAGACCAGGTGTGAGAGGCGCGGAACCTCCGAATCCTGTACAATATCTCTCCCGCTCTGCCAAATATTGACCCCTGGCTTGGTCGACTAGCAGCCTCGTTCCGGGGCATCATCGAGCCTGGTTTGCAACCGTGGGAAGACCACCCAGGGGTCTCGATTGCCGTGCTGCAACCCGCCGTGCCATCGGCAATGGGTGCTGAGGCTGCCCATGAGGAAAGATGATGGATGATGTATCACTAGGCCGTCCGTTCTAGTCACCTCCCCCTCTCCATTGGCGGCGCTTCGCAATCGCAGGCGGCTCCGCGTCACCATCCCCCCCCGAGCGTGCAATATCCGGAAGATTATGAAACCTCGTTCCCCCTCTTCGTCCCATCCCGGGAGCCTGAAAGGAGAGGGAGAACCTCGCCAGCCAGCCTCGCCAGAAGAGAGTTTACAGGCCCGTCGTCACTTGACCAAACTCGCATGCGCCGAAATGACGCCCAAGGGGAAGGGGGCTGCATGGCCACGAGGAGGTGTCTCGTTTAGGTGCCTCGTTTAGGTAGAGAAGGGGAGAGAAGAGCAGCAACACTGCCTGCCCTTGATGCTGTGGCGCACGACCGCAGGGTAGAAGGAAAGAAACGGCCCTCGATCAGGGAGATGCAACGGAGAGTGTTGCGTGCGTGTGAGCCGCCACGCATGGTGTGTGTGTGTGTCTGCTGTGCTGCGCGCTTTGATGGCCGCAGGACCCTTTTTCCTGTCAAAGCACAACGTCGCTGGGGCGCCGGCCTCCCTCCGGATGGCAGACCGAACTGGGGAGCGATGGCCGCCGAGTTCTCGATGCAGCCTGTTCGTGACTGTTGTTGTTGCCCCCTCCTCCTCATCCCCTTCTCCTGCTCCTCTCCTCCCAATATTCCAGACGCTCGCCTCCGCCAGCCCAGCTTTGTTTGGCCGTCGGTCTGATGTCCGATTCCTGAGCCTCGGGGAACTACGGGTCGGCTTCCCAGGCCCTATCCCTTTTTGATGCATGCCGATTTGTCCCCTCTCCCCCCCTTGCCCTGCGTAACTCTGACGCTTTGGTTTTTATTTAACGGTTATTATATGTTTAATTTCTTCTTGTGCCAGTTCACATTATCCGTCCGTTTCTCGGACAGTCGATTCGTCACCGTCCGTCACAGTCTCACCAAAACCGTTGTGCTGGCCTCGGTACATCGCAGGCACACACACACCGCACACCGCACACCGCACACCCGGCAGTTTGGTTATGCTTCAGCTGCGGGCGCCGCGGGCGGGTAAGACGGATTCCATCTCCATGTGCACCTCTTTTTAGAACGGCGCCAAGCCTACTGCTGCGAAGTCGCCTCGACGTTGTATCGCTGGCCGGCCGGATACCTCCCACTTCTTCAATGCCGGTATTCAAACAGCGTCAGCAGCAGTGGCAGATGATGAACGATACGTGCATGCTCGATTGACAATAGACGGATACGGGGGGGGAGCTGCGCATTGGCAAGACAAGGAACGGACGGGCAAAGGCACGTTGTCGTGGACGGATGGACGGATGGTCGGACGGATGGACGGACGGACGAGAATAAATCGGGAAAACGGAGTTGAACAAAATCACGTTGAGATATAAAATAAAATAGAATAAAATAAAATAAAAAAAACAACTAACCCTTGGAGGCCCTTTCTCCGAATTTCATAATATTCCAAAATGCCTTCTAGAACACCGCGCGCACGTCCAAGGGAGCAAGGGGGGGGGGGGGGGGGGCAGGCCTGTCACAGAAACGAGAACACTCCCACCCCTCCACCCCCTCCCCAGACAGGACCAATCTCCCTGCCACGTTTTTAATGTCTCCCTCTCCTCTCTACGGATACTCGACTCAAGCAGAGCGGCGAGTTCTCCGCAGCAGTCAGCAGAGCAGCCGAACCCCTCCCTTTCCCTTGGCGAACGGCCCCAACGTCGTGGTAGCGACCACCCGGGTCCGTACGGAACCGTGCCCCGGAGCCAGGCTCACCCCAGTAGCAGAGGCCGGGGCCCATGACTCGCGAGCGGCCACTATACCCTTTTCCCTTGATGATACCGGTAGGCCTTTCTGTACGTTTGGGGTCCTACTGGCAACAGGTCCCCCCCCTCTGCGACTCTCTCGGTGACCAAAAAAGGCGTTATCCTTCAGGTTACATACCGGCAGCTTCGCGCTTGGATGGAAAGCAGGCATGAGAGGGAGACGAGTCGAGTCGACGTCACGCCCTCGAATACTTGTCGTTGCGTACATTGCCACCCTCGGTTGACGGGCTCCCTATCCGTACATGTGAAGTGATTCGGATCGCAGCATATCGCAAGGGAACGTGCGCTGACGCACTGAAGACGGGGACATGACTCTCTCAGTCACTCATCCGTCCTCTTCCTTATCGCCTTCTTTTATGTTTTGATTTTTTTTGTTTTGTTTAGTGCTTTTGGTGGCCGCCTCACCAAACAGTCTTCCAAGGCCTTCTTGCGTGGCCCGCCGCGGAATCGTCCAAGGCAGGATTTGGGACGATCCGGAGCGAGGGCGAGAAGCTATGGAGACATTGACGGGCTCCAAGACCGCGTGTACATGGCAGGGCTGCTTCAAACCGCCGCGGCGGTCGCGTAAGGCGTCAGCCTGGGCTTCGAGACGCGGGGCCAAGACTTGATCAAGTTCATTATGTTTCGCGACCTCCGATACATGCGGGTTTTTCTTCTCCCCTCTTCCCTCTCTCTCCGCCGGCGGCTTGGCTCCATGTGGAGCACATCACCTCTCTCCCCTCTTTGACAGCTCGAACTCCCGCGAAACCACCCAATTATGTTTCCCGCATAGTGTCGACGGCGTTATGGCGGGCATAATTAGGCACATTCCGAGACCGCCGTGTGGGTATAGTATTAGTCCTTTTTTTTTTTTCTTATTCCGTGCCGTCCATCCAATCCATCTGTATGCGCGAGAACGGACGTGGGACCGCTGGGAATATTGACCATACGCATTTCACGGATTTGTCAACACCGGAAAAGACTGCTTGTAGACAGACGGACGGGACTCGCTTCCTTTTTTTGAGTCCCAAGCCGCCAAGCTAATCCGCAACAAACATGAGATGGCGAGCTTTTCATAGTCTGCTGCCCTTCCCTCCCGGACAACGATCGCCTCGAAAACCTCGGAACGACTCTCTCTCTCTCTCTCTCTCTCACACACACACCCTCTACCCAATGCGCTGTGCTTGACTACGTGATAGACCGTTTCCCCCTTACCGTCGCCGCGCGTGTGGCCGCAGACCACACAAAGCAGGCAAGGCAGCCTCGCTGGTGGCCCCAGGTTCCGGACTAAGCGTCGGAGGCACTGCGGCTCCTTTGCGGACATGCACACGCCAGTCTTCAGGCATGCGGCTCCCGCTGGGCCTCATGACGGAGATTTCCAGGTCCAAGGGGCGGGAGAAGCATGGGGTCGGGTGGAGGGTCACGAGAAGGGGGGGTGTGCGTGTGTGTGTGTGTGAGTGAGGGCAGGGAGGACAATTTCGGCCGGTTTTCCACGACAGGGGATTAAAGACCTCGAGGGCCAACCCCTGGAGGGTTTGAGAGGCCTTTCCTTCTCTCCGCCTGGGTATTCGTCCCTGGGAACCTGGAACTTTCGTGCCCGATTCCACGAACAGGGGAGATGCTGTTCGTCGGGCGTCAAAGAAGGGGAGGAAGGGGGGTGGCCGTTGTCCGGACGGGGAGGCAAGACAGAAATGGCATATGACTGACTGACTGACTGATTGCCCGTCTCTCTGTGTCCAGTCCGACGGGCAGGTCGTCGTAACGTGCTGGGACATTGGCAACGTTCGGCCCTCGTCCAGGAACATGACCGCGTGCTCCCACCCCCCTTCCCCTTTTCCCCGGTATCCGTTGCTGTGGTTGAAGCGAGCTGTCACGTTCTATCTTCAGCGGCTTTATCAGTCTCTTTTTCTTTTTCTTTTTTTTCCCTTCCTTTTTGCGGGGTAAATTAGAAACTATGGGGAGGACGAGGAGGAGGTGGGCAACGCCGCACCTCGTCCTTGTGTTTGTCGCCGGGTTGGCTTGTCGGCCGTTTGGGATACTCCAGGTTCGTTTGCCTTCTTGCACCGTCCTCTGCCATGCACTGCGCCCAGACTCGTGATGGCACTCGTTTGATTAGCAGTTCCTGCGCAGACAAGCGGTTGCGAGTTTGAAGAACGGGCTCGCTGCATTGCCTGCCCGCGAGAAGGGCAGCGTTTGCGATTCAAAGGGGCGGGGGATGGAGGGGGATCATTCGCTCCGTCACGAGCAAAAAAATCTAAACCACAGGCGCAGTTGATGCATGGCGTTACCCGAAGACGACAAAAGGAACATGCCGGTGTATCAGCACGCGTGAGAGGGATGAGCAAGAGCCAGCGGTCCAGACCTTTGCGGGGCCCCTCGCTTTCTTTCGCATGAAGCACTCCCTCGTCGTCGATCTGTTGTAGCTGCTTGCGCATGACGAACGGCGGGCGAGAGGAATAACATCGGAGGACGAGAGACGATGGAAGGGGGGTGGGGTGGGAGGAGGGGGGTATCACCTCTTTTCGTGGTCCGAAGTTGAGCATCGCATAGAGCACGTGCAGCATACGTACACCGAGAGATGCGAAAATAAGTGACGGGGAAACACGTACAAGCTGGGGACCCCGTGCCAGGTGCGGGCGAGTCAACAAGCGTGCCGGAATCTCAAGGCTTCCCCACGAGCCGCTCATTGGATGCCCTTATCTTTTCTTCCAAGCCGTGGTAGTTTCCGCATTGAAGAGATCGGATGAGAGAGAGAGAGAGAGAGACAGAGAGACAAAAGGCCTGCGGGTGCCTGACTTGGCAAACAATCGACCCCGGTTTGTAACGGTAGGCGTAAAAAGAAAGTCAGAATAGATCATGGGGTTTCCCCGGACGCGGGGGGCGTCTTGCAACTTGGGACGGAAAACCCGGGGCCTGCCCGTTGTCGACGCTGCTCTCTTCTCTCCCTCTCTCCCTCACTCGATCAGGGGACCCTGCGGGGTAATGGGTTGGCTGAATCGCGGCCTCGCAAGCTTGGGGCAATTCACATGCTGGCGGGAAGAAGCGGAATATGGGGATGGAGATGAAGCTTACGCCTCCGCTCGTGCTGCTACACCTGCGACGTCGGTTCGTCGGGGGGGGGAGGAGTCAGGGCAAGGCGCTTCACATGCCAAAGGAGAAGCGTCCAACGACCAGACAATTCCCACGTCGTTATAACATCATTGGTTGTCACTTGTTTTGTCGTGAAGGCACGGTTTGACGTTGATTGGAGGAGGAGGGGCGGAAAGGGAGGACAAAACAACCGGCGACGACTCGTGGCAGAAGGCAGAAACGAGCAGACTTTGTTCGAGAACAAACATGTTGCGGCTTCTTTGGACGACGGGGCGTGTGCGTGTTGGGACCTGGCCTCGCATCCTTTGCAATGCATCGTCGTAATCCGTCCAGACTGCGCCATTCAAGATTTGTCATGATTCAAGAGACGAAGCAGAGGAAAGAAGAAGAAGAGAGAGGAGAGAGTGTACGCGTACAGAGAGATGGAGGCAATCTTGAAGCCACACGGCCAACCAAACCTACCGAGCGAAAAGGAGGGCACCACCATCGTAGCGTGAGACAAACACAGGCTTTTCGTGAATAATGCGAGATTGGGCGGGCTGGGTTGATCTAGCCATTGGAAAGCCAACTCCCGCCTCGAAGCGGCACTGTCGTCGCAAAAAAAGGAAGAAAAGACGAGGAGAAACTACGGATATTGATGCAACTTTACCTGCTGATATCGCGGGGCTGCAGCCAAGGTTTAGACTACCGAAGGACCCCCGGCCTCGAGCGAGCGCGGGGGGGGAGGGTGTCCGGGCTGCACGTACTGAGCCGCACGGCATGGCGGGCCGTGTTGTTCTGCTCCTTGACCTCCGTCCCGTGCCAGCCTAGGAGCCCGCGAGACCTAGGCAGACCGGCTGAGGCTTCCCGTGGTCCCCTCTCGCGGAGGACGAGGAAAAGGGAGTGGTTAGCATCCGCGGGTTCCCCCTAAGAGGGGGGCTCCCGGCGAAGCGAACAGCCAGGGACGGGGCGGAGGACGGGGCGGAGGTGAGCCAGTCCCCCTCATGGGCCGGAATGCCAGAGCCCGGAGATTTGGGTGGTGTGTGCGTGTGTGTGTGTGTGTGCCAATCGACTTCGAAGTCGGAGGGGTGGGGAGCCGAGATACTACAGGTCGTCGGCCCTCGAGGACATGGCGTGGCCGACAGGCCTCGAAAACACTCGCACGTCGAGGCCTGGGCGAAGACGCCGAGGGCCAATCCTAGAAAAGGGACGGGAAGGACTTGGCCGGAATGTAGGGCTGATGAAGACAAGCCGGTGCCTTACAGTTTACGGTCCCTCTTGGTTTGCCGTGGCATAACACCCCCCTCCACCACTCTCCAATCGACTCATCGCGTAACGCTAACACGCTAGTCATGATACACTCGTCGAGGCGGGAGGGGGGACCGGATGGAAGATTGCAAGCTAAAGAGCAGAGGAAGGGTTCCCCGGAGCCCGAGAGGAGGCTAATATGCGACCTATCCAATCTCCCGTCGTCCGCGGAACGGCTGCCGAGATCGACGGCGTGAATCGAGGGGGGAAACCACACACGCACGCACACACACACGCGAGCTCGTTGCTTCAGGGCGAGACATTCCAGCCAAGGTGCTGACGCAAGGCGCGGGCGGATATTCTACCCAGCCCGCCCAGGCTCTTGTCTCCGGCGCTTTCGCCGTCAATTCGCTGACGAATGAATCTCTTTCGGGTGAGTGAGGCGGCGTGGTGCGTCTCGACGGAGATGGAGATGTGCGCTGTCGTGACGGGCATCCAATATCCGCCCCTTGCTCACCGGTCTGCATCCTCCCGGCGCAGCCAACAAGATCGTCACATGTTGGTTAGTAAACTTGCAGCAAAACTCTAGGAGCCGTCTCTCTCTCTCTCCCTCTCTCTCTCTCTTGATCCATCCCGCCCACTCGAGACGGCTGCCGTCCTCTTCCCCGCAGAATCGCACATCCGGCCGAGTCGTCCCACCCCCGCACCCCCCGGCCCCCCCCCCCGAGCTGGCCCGCATGGTGCATATTCCTACTTCCTGCACCCGGGCACCCAAAGAGGAGGGTTGCAGAGCAGGAAAACCCAAAGATACAGGGTATCTCCAACCCCTCCCCCCCCCCCCCCCCCCCCCCCTTCTCTCTCCTCTCCCCTGATCTTTGCAGAGAAGAAGCGAGGCACCCCCAAAGATGAGAAGCACGGACCGGTCCTCCGGAAGCGGGTGCGCAACTAGCTAGCCTTTTCCTTTCTCTCTCTCTCTCTCTCTCTGTACCTGTCTCTCCACGACATATTCGTTGGTAGGCGAATCCAGCCGGCTGGGTTTCGCCAGCTGCGTTTTCTCCCTTCCCGGGTGCCCCGGCGAGACGGCCAACCGCGCCGGCCCACGCCACGCGCATTCCCCTTGGAACTCTGAAAGGGGACATTCGGCAGCCCTCTGATTCGTGGGCTTTTCTCTGTCTTTCTCTCTCTTTCTCTCCCGTCCCCCCTTTCCGTCTTTCCTCCGTCCATCACACGCTTGCCTTCTGTCGGCTAATCCATCTCTCTCCTCACGCTCCTCCCTTCCCTCATGTCGAGCGAGACCTGGAGAGAGGGGGCGGGAAGGGGTGTCTTTGGCACAAAACGAGAATCAGGTGGATGGATTTTTCCCTACTTGCAGTAGCTGGTTGACGTGGATGGGGGGCATGGGGCATGGCATGGGCGGGCGCGGGAAGACGATGGCGGCGTCGACGAACGTACATAGGACTGAGGATTGGTTCTGGAGGGGGAGGGGGGTGACGCAAAAGAAGAATTCGGAATATGGAAATGAGAAAGTAAATAATCGCTTCATTTTATTCCGGGTGTTTTTCTTTGTTTCTTTCTTCTTTCTTTTCCGGATTTGTCCTCACACCACCTAACAACCCCCCCCCCCCCCCCCCCCTTTCAAAATATCGAAAATAAAACCAATCATATTATCATTTATTTTGGCAGAAATACTTTCCGTCATTCTACGGACCTTCTGTTCGAATCGAACAAACATACCCCGTCACACCGCCTCCGTCTCCCAGACGTTTGTGATGGTGGTAAGAAGCGCCTCCTGGTTCCCCTTCCCCTCCAGCCAATCCCTCCCTATCCAACACCCTCCGGCCTCCCGTCCGTGATCTTATGCTTCCCCTGCCCCCCTGCCCCCCCCTCCCAATCATAACTCGTGCATTAAATCTCACATTGTGACAGATGGACATCATCACCACCCAATCGCCCCTGGGGTGAGAAGGGGGTGGGTGGGAAAGAGGGGAGGAGCGTATCACATTGTGTTACCCGGCCGGCGATGCATAATTCGATCGCGCACAACGAATCCCACCCGGCCGTCTGCCGCCCGGGCCCGATCGGCGCTTGTGTGTGTGTGGAGGGATGGGAGGGGGGGGGGGCTTCGGCCGCGTTTCCTGTGGCGGTGCGCGGCAGTCATGTTTGCGAACGCCGGTTGTGTGGTTCGGGACGGTGGTATCATTCGACAGAGGTGCCGGGCGTTCGAAAGCGCAACCCATGGTTCATTGCCTCCTGTGCTTCTGCTAGCTCCTATATACCTTGGCACTTTTGACACCGGAGGGGGCATCTCGTGATGCGAAGGGCGGCCTTGCATCAAGACTAGTATGCCCCCCGTCCATCGCTTAATCCTTCTTCGACGACTCGCCGCCGCCGACCCTCTTGAACTTCCTCGGGTCCTTGCGGCTCATCAGCTTGCGGTCCCGCGTGCCCTTGCCGCCCTCCCAGAACCCCCTCCCCTTGCGCCCGATGACGCTCCTGCCGCAGAACCCGCACGCCTCGGGCGAGTACCGCTGCTCGCGGCTGCACCACCCGCACACCATCCGGCTCGCCCACTCGTTGACGTGGTTCTCGGCCTCGTCGTGGCACCGGTCGCACGGGTGCACCCGCGCGCAGCACGAGAAGCGGAACCACCGGTAGCTCTTCTTGTAGTGCGCGCACGCGCCGCGCTCCGGCAGCGGCGTGCCCGCGTGCAGCCCGAGCTTCTCGGCCCGCTTGACGGGCCCCGACGTCGGCGCCGCGCCGGCACCGCCCGGCGACGTGATGGCCAGGAACTTGACCGCGGGGATCTTGAACGTGAACCGGCCGTGGCAGGTGCGGCAGACGTTGGTGGTGGCGTCGCCGCGCACCGACACGAGGCCCTGGCTGGGCGTCGAGCACTTGGCGCAGACGGGGACGAAGGTGCTGGGCAGCATGTCGGCGACGGTGCAGCCCGCGAGGTCGACGAAGCCCGCGCGCGTCGAGTGCGCGTGCACGAGCTGCTGCCGGAACTGCGCCTCGAAGCCCGTCGCGCACTTGCGGCAGCTCGACGTCTGCGCCGCCTCGTGCCGGAGGCCCGTGATCTCGTTGACCGTCTTGCACCGGCCGCACTTGACGCCGAGGTTGAGGATCGACACCTGGAAGAGCTCGATGCCGTGGAGCTCGATTGTCGGGAACGAGATGGACGTGCCCCGCTCGGCGGTGAGACCGGAGCCGAGGCCGGGCGGCTCGGCGCCCAGGTCGGCGCCGCCTTCGTTGTCGTCCGAGTCGTAGCTGTCCGACGTGTCGCTGTCGTCGTCATCGTCCGCGCCGCCGACACGACCCCATTCCGGGGGCCTGGGGATGACCTTGATGTGGCTGCGATCCTCGTCCGGAACGGCCGACGCCTTCGCCTTCGCCTTCGCCTTCGCCTTCGGGTCCGTCTCGGAAACCGGCGTCGGCTTCGCCCGGGCATCGGGCTTTGGCGGCGCCAAGGCCTGCTTCGCGAGAACGTGCATGTTCTGCGCCAGGTAGTTCAGGTGACTCGTGAGTGTCATCTGCTTCTGTTCCGCCGCCTTCCGCACGTAGAGCTCCTCGAGGGGCTCGGCGTCTTGCGAGTCGCACTCGTTGAGCTGGATGCGTAGCGGTTGCAGCGGGTAGAGTAGGGGCACGATGAGGTGCACCGTCTTGACGCCTTGGAGGCCGGCGGGCAGCTCGCCGCGGCGGCGGGGCTCGAGAGGGAGGGTGTAGACGATGCCGTCCGGGGAGCGGCGGTACAGAGACAGGCGGCCCATGCGAGTCTCGAGCTGGCGTGTCTCCTGCGCGCGCCGGGCTTTGGCGGCCGCCATCTCTTCTTCCGTGAAGTACTCCTCGGGCGCGTAGTGTCTGGGGGGAGCCGGGGATGGTGGCTTGGCGACCAAGGCGGCCGACACTGCGGACGAGGCAGGGGCGGCGGCGACTGCGAGGTGACGGGTGTCTTTCGTCTCCTTGAAGGATACCAGCTTCACGGTGGCGGCTTCCTGCTCAGACAAGAAGCTCTCGAGGTTCTTGTCGAGAGCGTGGGTGAGGGCGAGCAGGGTGGCGCCCTGGCGCTCACGGACGAGCTTCTCCCACCCGCGTTCGATGTTGATGCCGAAGCCGCGCGGGATGTCGCTGTTCTGCACGCGCAGCACGGGGGCGGCGTCGGGGTAGTCCTCAGGCACACGCAGCTCACACTGGAGGTGCTCCAGCTCAAAGGGGAAGTCCGGATCGGAGGGCTTGATGCGGAAGAGGAGGACGGTGGTGCCGTCGGCGGCGGTGGACTCGCGGGGCGAGTACCGCTTGCGCAGCTGGCCGAGCTGGTAGCCGCGGGGATCCCTGGACTGGGCCTCCGGGACGGGCTTGGGAACAACGCGGTCGGTGCGGGGCCGGGGGACGGCCTGTTGGTGGGTGTCGCCGCCCTGCTTCGCGAGGGATATCATGTTGGGCGGCGGGTCGGGAACGTGAAAATGAAAATGCTCAACGTGTGGTTAATGTCGATGAGCTGAACTGACGAAATGCATAAACGAAAACGGGGCGATCTGCGGGCGGAGGCAGTGCTTTGTCGGCTGGTATGAGCTGGGTTGCTGTGTCGAACTGAGGACCCTCCCCCCCTTCTTCAGCGACAGATGCGTTTGTATTTGATGATTCTCGCGACGGTGGCAATGGCGGGGGGCTGGATCCGGACCGGGGTGTATGATGAGTGGGTTGTGGGTTGTGGGTGTTGTGTTGTTGCATCTCGGAGACGCACATCGCATCCATTGTGGCGTTGCATTAGTCGACATGAGTCATCCTGGGGCACGTGATGTGATTACTTAACAGCCGGACGGCAAGTGCGTGCGCAGGGTTTGTTAGCAGGTACCTCTTGCTACCCGTACTCATCCATTTCATCACTTGTAGCCAAAGCCGTCCACGCCGGTCGACTCATCGTCTGCACACACGCTTTATAAGCTACAGCCGTCAGGTCAGGACTCGAGAGTGATTGCGCATATCGCCAAATTCCATTGGATATTGTTGCGCTAACTACATGCCATCGCCTCTTACCCCATTGAGACTCATCAACAACGACGGGCGTGGAATGTCTTTGTCAAGTACGGCGCGTCTTTGCTCGAAAGGGAACAATATTGCAGGTGGCGGTTCATTTCATCTCGGAAGGAAGCCCACTGCTATAGCATGGAAAATCTGTGTTGGATTATTGGGCCTTCTTCTTCTTCATCTTCTTCCTCTCAGATTGGGCATTGACATCATTCTTTCTTGTATCTCTGCGCCATCGAGAGACACGAGCCTACTCGTCCCTCTGGGCATTTTCTTCAATGGCAAGGGGGGAGACAGATACCTCCTCTGTTGACTGAGAATAGATTACGAATCTCCCGGCAGCGAGTAAAGGTCCGACACAGTGAGTTCCATGCTCGTCAGCCGTCGACGCTGAGACGAATGGCCACTGCTGCCGGGCATTGCCACCATACCCCACACACCCCGGGGCATCGGGCCCGAAGTGGGCCTCTCCCCCGTTCGCACAGTCCATCCCGTGCCGGACCGGCCGGAGGGTGGAGGAAGTGGAATCTCGCATCACCTCGACAGGGGCTCGTCCGCTCCGATCTACACCCGCGAGATCCGGGGGCCGGTACTGGCCGGGGGGGATACCTCAACGAGGCACCTTGGGAGGCAACTGTTGACGTTCCCGCCAGCCAATGACACCCTGAAAGTTTCCATCGGCCGCGCATCCACGGTCGTTTGGCCGAGTAGAGGACAGAAGACAGTCATGGCAGCGAAGGCCAGCAATACAATGTGACCCTCGCTCCAGGCCCTTCTTCTTCTTTCCCCCCTTGATTTTCTTACCGTTTTCTCTCAATTTTGTTTTCAGTTTCAATAATGATAATAAAGCGAGCCCACAGCCCCCGTTGGGCAAACACTCAAGAATGGAGAAGGCCACGGGAAGCCGTGGATGAACAGGCCTGACGTCCGGGGACCAGTCCAGGGCCGTCTCGGCGGTTCTCGTGACTGAAGACCAGGAACATGCCCAAAGCAAGCTTCGCACTTACAACCTCAAAAAAAGAAGGAGGGAAAAAAGCATATACTGTGCCGGCGAGAAAGAGTCCTCCCTTCCGGACTGGAAAGCCTGGCACCTCATGACAGCCAGGGAGGGAGCATGCGTGAGCTGGCCGTGTTGGCTCAACAGCGTGATGCCCCCCTGCCCCCGCGCGCAGGGCACCAGCCCAGCGCGCGATGTAAGGGCAGAAAACGTTCCCAAAAGGCCGCTTTCCCCAGCATCAGCATGGTGTGGGTGTCCGGCCGCTGCCCAACAGTACCGCTTTTTGCGTGATGCTGGCAGGAAACAGTGCCCTAGCACCCGCCCTCCACCGCCCCCATCCAAACCACAGGACATTTTGTACAGTGACGTTGAGCGTTGTCTGCGAACGTGACGGGGCAAAGGAAGCACACCGACACTCCGGCGGCGGGCCACTCTCCGCCTCGCCTGCTGCCTCTCCTGCATATGCGGGCGCCGAATGACCCCGGAGATGAGAGGCTGCCGTTGAACCGCCCTCCCTGCGGAGGAGGAGGAAGGGGGGTTCCAGCCGCCACTTGATCCTCCGTGTCACTGCCTTGAGCGGCAGGTGCAGCAGGGCATGTGGTCTCATCTGGAATCGAGTCGATCGCGGGTGCTGCAGAGAGGTGAAGTGAGGGAAGGGGGATGCGAGAGGGGGAGGGGCGCAGAGGTGCAGGTTATGCTGATCGCGGTGTGAGCACGACAGACGCCACATGGCCGAGATGGTGCTCTGGCTTCGCCTTGCGAAAACGGTGCGGTGCGCGCAGTTCCTCCTGGGAACGCAGCGGGAGGGGAGGGTGGTGGGAGGGGGGCTGACGGAGCGCGCCTCACAAACGGTGGGTGACCGGTCTGGCCGGCGCGGGAGAGGAGCGTTCGGTACGATGCGCCAATGCCAATCTCAACCGTCAGGTTTACCTGCGGTTTTGGTTTTTAAAAAAGTACAACCTTCGTATATGGGAAGAAGGCCCGGAGGCGCAAGCAAGCTGGCCCGGGGAAGACGACCGGATATGCAGCCAAGCTGCGCGGTTTGATGCAATGTACGGTAAATAAAACCGCCTCCCCCCTTCCCCCCCTCCCCCTCCAAAGCCGAAAAAGGCAGCGTGGGGTGAGAAGCCCAGCATGCAGAGATAGATAGGGATTGGGGGCGGGCTAGAGGACGCGAGAGGGCAAAAACACTTCCTCGGGCGGGCCCGTGACGAGTCGGTTGACAGGCTGTTATCGGATGAAGCCCGATCTTTTCTAGGGAATCTCGGTCAGTCTCTTTTCTCTGCTTTCTCTGGGCTTTTTTTTTTTTTTTTTTTTTTTCGTCTTCTCCCCCCCCCCCCCCCCCCACCCGCCACCGCCCGTCAGTTGATATCCTCCTCGCGCATCGTCGAGTCGGGATGGGAGGGATGAAGGTTGCGTGGTGCCGGTGACAGCTGTTCGCTCATCTCGATGGCCGACACGGCACCTGGAGGCCCTTGGGCAGCAAAAGGGAAAGAGAGAGATAGAGAGACTGCTGTTTGCGGCTCATCAGCCGATGCCCTCGAGCTTGGAAGGTTGATGGTGCCTTGGCGCGGGTGGTGTTGAGGTGATTGCTCCCTAGCCCCGGGGCACGTTTCGATGACGAATATTCTGAAAGGGGGGCACTATTCTCGGGGCCCAAGGGTGACTGCGACGCTGCGGGAGGAGGTAAGGGAGATAGGGATAGAGAGGGAGAAAGAGGGAAAGAGAGAGAGAGATAGAGAGAGATAGGACTGCCAGCGCATCAGCGAGAAGGGGACCCGGTGACCATGGCGTTTATGCAAGTCCAAGTCAGCCCTTCCGGGCGGTGTAGGGACGGGAGTTGAGCTGGGTCGTCGGCAAGTTGAGGGGGTGTGTGTGTGTGAGTGATTGAGTGAGTGAGTGAGTGTGTGAGGGAGGTGAGGTGTGAGTGAGTCCGTAACAGGCGTAACATGGGGGGAGGAGGTGAAGAAAGGTGAAGGGAAGGGTGGTGGGGAGACTATGGTGGCGGACCGTTGGCGGCCCCCCATCGTCATTTTTAGCGCCGTCGCCCGTCGGTCTGGGGAAAACAAACGGTGGGGCCGCTGTCGAGATGGCGGTTCCATGTTTGATGGTGGTGACATTCTGGCTGCAAGAAGTTGAATACGATTATTTTTCAGTTAATTGTTTTTTTTTTCTTTCTCTTTTTCTTATTTTTTATTACCTTGATTTAATGCCATTTTAATTCACTTATTTCTTCATTGGTCCAACTCCCCAGTGTATGTTCCCGGCTTGGGGTCAATCAGATCCCGATGCAGAACATCACATCTAGCTTCCCGGCATGTTGAGATGCAGCGCACAGCCACCATCCACATACTCACATTCACTCACTCATTCACCTCACATCCCTCAACCTCAGAGCCGTCCATGGCCCTTCATCGCTCTTCACTGTCCTCGTTCATCTCAACTGTGACGCGCAAGCGGAACACGCTATCGGCCGTCGTCGCGGGGTGTTCGTCTCCATCGCCAATGCCGACGCCAATGCCAATGTTCGGCCAGTCAGCGGTTGTCCTCGACTCCACAAACAGAAGCACGTCGTTCTACGACCCTGTGTGCCTGACTGTCCACCGACATATGCTCAGAAAGTATCCGTAAGGCCTAATCATGGATGCAATCAACGGGCGGACAAAAATAAATCAATAAGAAAAAGAAAAAAAAAAAAGAAAAAAAGCCAGATAAAAAAAACCCCAATCGCAGAAAATGAAATAAAATAACAATTCAACAAGTCACTTTCGTACTTGGCTAGTCTCGCATGGTTCGCTACCGGAATCCCGGGGCTCGTGTCTGATGGCGGCACCCTCATGCAAGACAGTCCATGTGTTCACTACGGCCGCCACTGACTGGTCTAAATCTGTACTCGGGGGGGGAGGGGGCTTGCCCCAATGAGCTCAGTGGAAAAAAGAAAAAGGAGCCCTTGTTGAATTCTGACTGGTAGAACGTGTGATTCGAATCAGAGAGGGCACCGACCTCGTCGAATGAGAAGACTCTCTCTCTCTCGGCCTTCCGTCGATGACTGCAGCTGATGATCCATCTCCGTCCCACCAGTGGCTCAGCTACGGGTTGACTGGACGCGGGAGACGGGGCTCGCGGCATCGCGCCAGAGAGAGGTCCTTGGTGAGCGCCAAGTTCGACGACACGCGGTGGACGCTGCTGCTGCTGCCAAGGCCAAGGCAAAAAAAAAAAAAAAAAAAAAAAAGGCTTCAACGAGGCACAGCCGGGGACATATCATCTGCATGTGGCGGCTATGAATTCGATGTGTTGTGTGTGTGTAGGGGGGATAAACGAAAAGTGCTAGCTGCGTCCTTTTGTCCTCACAATTCATTAACCATTTTTTTCTTTTCTCCTTTTTATTTATTTTATTTATATTCTTTTTTGTTTTATCCTTGGTCTGCAACAATTCTTTAAAAAATACGGTAAAATAAAAACGCCCGTTTATGATTAAATCTGATTTTCGACTCCCGCTAATCGATCTGCCATCCGTGCGGCCCCCTTCCTTTCCATCTCTTCCTCACCTCATCCTCTCTCTGATCTATCTGATCCTCCACCACTACCACCGCTACCACCACACCACCACCGCCACCAGCGCATCAAGCTTACCTCTTCCCGGAACCACATGGTCGACCTTCCGCGGGAACCAACCTTTGGAAACGCGCCAACCATACGGAGCCCCTGCGCTTCCTGCGTTCACCTGACTGAAGACTGACATCACCACCAAACGGTTTACCCGCCCAACCGCGAGGCGTAGGCCTCCCCCCCCCCTTCTTCTTCTTCTTTGCGTTTGCCAGCGTTAGCATCGCTGAGGCATCTCTCGCTGGCTTAGCCGCCAGTGCACGCGCACCCTCTCTTCACCACATCCTCCTCCCTCACCTCACCCCCCTCACACACTCGTCCCGTCCACCTGAGACCAGGCGGTCCAACCTTTCCCTTCGTTCCAAGCCTTTCCCGCCGTCTTGTGCGCCTAGCCCGGGGAGACAGGTTCGTGGTGCTGAGACACGAAACCGGACAACGAAACGGCGCAAGACACGACATGCGGCTTTAACGCTGGACCCCTCGCGACGGGGAGGGTAGGCGCTGGCAACCGTGGGCACATGCCTCGTTTCTGACGTAGCTGCCTGGCCTGTGAATGCCCTCATCGACGCAGATGCGCCGCCATCGTACCTGGCTCTCGCAATCGAGATAGCCAGGGCGGCCAGGGTGAGCGACGCCGATCTCTGTTTTGACAGGTGGGGGCTCCTGACTTGGTCCCGTTCTGTTCGGTCCTGCGGGTTGATGTCACTCCCGACCCGTGCCTCCGTGGCCCGGGACACGGGGCTTGCGAGGCCGCCTTTTGTGGCCCGACCCGCCTCAGCGCCCGTTTGCGATAAGAGAGAGAAGGAACCACGTCGACGTCGTCGGTGTGCGGAATATCTCGTGACCCTTCATCGTCACAGCGAGCCATGTCTTTGTCGTCTTCCTCTGGGGGCCGTCTTTGGGTGCGGTACTAGCTTGGTCTCGGGGGAAGAGAGAGACAGAGAGAGAGAGACACCCCCCCCCTTCAACGTCGTTGTCTCTGTTGGTAATGTCTCACCGTTGCCGTGCCACCGGTGGTATTGACATCATTAGCCAAGGCTGCACATGTCGCGAGATGGGCGATAGACAACACAAGGATGCACGTGTTCAAGTGAGCAGCGACCTCTCCATCAATGTGTTGATTGTTACTCGGTGTAGAAGGGTCTTATCTTGGGTGTGTCGTCTCGGCGCAGGAGGCTTCTGTCACCAGTCCAGCTAGCCGTTGAAGCAATACGTGACGAGGCGAACGTACCTGATTGAGAGGCAAACTGCGGCCTGATGAACGGACTGGTCACCAGTCAAGAAAGGCGTTCTTCCTCAGCGCTGCCCGAGGGTATTGGGGAGGGGAATAGGGGGTGCCGAGGCTCGGTCCAGCGTGGGCGGCACCCTTTGTGCATTTTAGATTCTGAAGTCCAAGGCTCGAAATGCCTGTTGATGACTCACGTGCTCGATGCTTCTGAGAAGAACTCATGTCCAACGGTTTGACGCGGTCCTCAAACGAGATGGGTGCCCTCAGGAGGGAGAGAGGGGAAACAAAAGCTGTTGAAGCTATCACCAACCTCGGGGGAAACAGCCGTTAAGCAGGAGGTGGGGAGACGTCTTGATGTTGTTCCTTCCTTCTCTTGCAAACAGGACCTGATGAAGGAGGAGAAAGCATCTTCGGAAGTAGCGTCTTGTCGTGCTCTTGCCATTAAAAATCCCCATCGATCCTTCCCTCCAACACCCCATGCGATGGGCAACTGCCAAAGAAAGAGAGAGCCACACAGGCGGAGGAAAGAGTCCTGCTTGCTCCTTCTTCTCGTGGATGCCTCATTTCCAACCTCCCGCGCGCTCCGAGGAGTCCGGACAGAAAACTTCCCTCGTCGTGCTTCCTCCTGTGCCCTTTATATCTCTCCTTGATCTTGATTTGACACCAAACCAGTCTCATTCCGTGTCATTCATGGCTTGCTTTCTGGGGATATACTCGGCCCTCGTACATGACTTACCGTCACCACCGAGAACCCTGCCAGCAAACGTGTAGGTACATGCCAGATTCTCGTCCGGTGCGGCGCTGACATCTCGCAGCCCAAGATGCCCGAACATTTCGCCACACAGTCAACGATTGGTGGTTTCAAGCCCATCAATGGCCCCAAGAGACCCCTGACGCCAACACCATCCGCCGCAGTCTTGTCGCCCTTCAAGCGATTAGCAGTCGATACCGCCCCCAAGCTAATCGCCACCCCTGAGCATGGAATGGGATGCCGAGCCTCGTCCAATAAACCCCAAGCGTTCCATGACCGAGTCGAGCCCGCGGAACAGTGCCCCCTCCCGCCCGATGTTGTGCGAGCTTCACCGACCATGTCCGAGGCAACCATGGAGATACCCAAAACGCCGCCAAGCACCTTGCCACTTCGTCCGCCACACATTGCCGAGTCTTGGCGTGACGAGGCAGACTCGTGGATGGACGAGTTCGTGAACCTGGACTCGATAGGCGACGAATGCTTCGTCCCATCCAACGAAGCGCTAGTTGGTAACCACCAATGTGCAAATCACACTCCGTCGAAATCGCATGCAATCATTGCCAAGCCGTTCCCACATCTTGACCTCGAGAGCCTCAAGCAAGCAGCACAAGATGGAGGGGCCACCATGGAGGACGGCACCTTGGATGAATATTCAATCGGTGACTCGGATGAAGAGGACATGGCCATGCTGCTGGCACCAGCCGACGGCAGCCCTAGCAAGCTTTCTCCCTCAAATTTCGCTCCAACCATTGATCAGGGTCCGAGGTCGATTGGTAGCTTCGATTTGAAGCTTCACTCCTCTTCTTCCGACGTAAGCCGCGATGAAGCATCCAAAATCAACTTCTCGGAGCCAGACCTTCTTGACGAAGATATCGACTGGGACACTATTACTGCCTGTGAAAAGGATGCCATTTGGAGCCCCGAGACCGGAATGCCTGTTGATGGTGCCAGCATGCAGCAAGCGAGTTCCCCATCAAGCCCGACCCCTATCATAAGGCCCCCCGTTCCTCCAAAGATGAGAGACCGCTCCGTTGTCGTTGGGCTTTCCTCCACAACCATGATGCGCACCTGCTTCAGGATCGGGGAGTTGCTGAACGCCCACGCCAAGTGCACGCGAGAGAAACAAGACGTCGTCTTGGAGTTGTTTGCAAGGGTGAGGTGTTCTACCCGGGAGACCACGACCAGGGTGCAGCACTTTAACCTGCGGGACCTTTTCACGGACAGGCAGCCATTCCTGAGTGGCACTTTTAAAGACTGGAAGCTCAACAGCTCTCTCGATCACGATAGTAGATCATTTCTAGGACCGAGTGGAGAGAAAAAACTATGCCGATGCGTTTGCAAGCTCTCAAACGCCACGGACACAGCCATCGGACGCTCAGCAATGATCCTGTCCATCAGAGAGACAACCTGGGATGAAATATTTTGGGCTTTGAGAATCGTCGCCAGGGATGCGCCATCGAACAGCGAATGATCTTTCCTGCCATTCGACTGATGAACCTTGATGACATTAGCGATGGATCTTTTGAGGCAAGCCTGCCATGTCTTGAAGATCTCTTTTAGACTGGAGGATAAACCGAGCAGGCAGCTCGCGGAGAGCGTTCATCTCCAAAGTCTCGAGGGAGCAAACCAAGAAGACATTCAAAAACATACTGTGCTCATAATGCTGATTATGGTTTTCGTGCTCCTGACTCATCGGTGTGCAAAAGTTCATCTCGGATGTTGAAGAAGCGTGGGCAGGACAGACATGCTTCCGAGTCGGCCCTCACATGAGACACTTACCGCAATACATGAGGCTTAGGGCTTTTCTCACCCCATTTCCCAGTGATGAAAGGCTCTTGGGGAAAACAAGGTTCCCTGCTGCTCCTGTAAGCACACATGCACTTCGCTGCGGATGTACGGAAGCGCCAAGAAGGCCAAGAAGCCAGCTCCGGGAGGACGTTCTGAAAACACGCAAGGCATGCTCGAGTCTGAACAAACCCAGCCTATGGCGCAAGAAAGGCGATGATAAAGGCTACGAGTGTCTTGGCAACCTGGTTTATAGCAACGATAAGTCAGGCTGACTGGCAGTCCGGCAATCGAGTTATCGAATTCCGCATGCGACCGCATAGCATGCCGCGATGCAGCGTCGAGACCAACATAGCTGCCAAGACGCCGTACCTATAGGCAACGCCGATGACCCAGACTCCTGCCGCGCGCGTTGGAGATAAAGATTCTTCAGCTTTATTCATAACGAGTGTTGTGTTGCCGTGACGGTCAGCGTCAAAAGTATGATCCATGTAGAAATAAGGTGGGTTCATACCTGACACTCTCCCGAACGTGTTGGAATCTTGGGGGCCAGGGGGGGTTCGGTCGACCAACCTCGTCTATGTTGTCACACGTCATACTGGTAGCGGCAGCTTGAACTCCTATTCACTCCACATCGTGAAGCCCGGCATCAGAACCGCAGCTACTCCTGTTGGCACACGGGAGGTGCAAGTAAAGTAAAGGCGCGCACCGAAGGGGGCTCAGCAAAGAAGCCTGCGGCCCAGGACTGGAGCCAATATCGTCACAGAGGGAACGCCTTCACACCATTCTGCAAGGTGTTCGTCTGCCAGCCCTTGTCTTTAGGTTACACACTTCTGCGGCGTGCCCGTGGGGGGTAGGGAAGTGGAAAGCCCGAAAGGGGGGGAGGGGGGGGGCGCAGAAAGACGACTTGCGTGCGGCTATGATGGATGGCTCCGTCGTACAGAAAGCTTGACGGGAGATTCGGCGTCAACCAACCTTCAGCTTCCCGTCCGCCAAGAGATAAAGATGACCAAGCATTTAAGCGCTTCGCGTACTCCTGGGGCATGATGTCCAGAACGAAAGACGGCCTTTGCCATCAGTCAGAGATTTGTCCGTAGCAGCACATCGATATCCGCTCACCAATGGGAAACAAAAAAGACCAAACCTCCCGTCTTTTATTATACCCGTATAATCATACTTGCCGTCTTGGCACTCGAGGCTAACAATGCCAAGGTACGACGAGACGCCGAATCACGGCCTCGCGACCAATACTTTGCAGCTTTCGCCATGGTTCTGAGGCCCTCCCTTGGCTTGTTGCATATCGTTCCCAACACGCGTCTCCTTGCCGAGAAGCTGGGCCGCCGCTATTTTCTGACTGCGCCGACTTCAGAGATGTCTTTGGTCTACTTGCATAGCTCCTCCCATCTGGCGTTTTCGAAACAGCTCAACCTTGCTCTTCTATCTCGGGCTCTAGGACCCGATTCAGTTTGTTCACCCCGAGACTTTGACCACGCACCAAAGCCCCTCCTTTCCCTTTCTTTCTCTTTCTCTCTGTCTCCTTCTCTGTAAGCCCTCCACACTTACTCGCACGAAGCCTCCTGAAGACGTTCGAGGTGCTGTCTCTGTTTCCCTCGAGGACCGGGAGCACGTGCGGGCGTTGCATAGATCGCAGTTGAGTATGTGCGCGACACAATGACGGAGCTCTCCCAACCCCGCCACCGAGTAACGGGGGTTCATCAGCTCGCGTTGGTGCTAGCATAGCTTTGCCAGCGCGCGCGGGGTGTGGCGAGAGAGCTACGATCAATCAGAGCAGCATGGTGCACCGCTGTCACAAAAATGGTGCCCGATGCTGCTGAATGAGCTTTTCCGGGCCGCTGGAATCTCGAGGGCGAACGTCTGAACTGCCCTCCTGGGGACGGATGAGTCGCTGCTCAGCACACTGAGATCAGACGTAAATACGGTCCTTGGCCTATCGCCTTGAAACGTTGGCTGACTGTTCGCAAGTCGGGTCGCTCCCCCTGTCTAGATGCGGTGTTTGCTTCCCTGAATCGGTTCTTGCGGAGAAGATATCGGCCCTCGCAGCGGTTCAAGGTGCTGCTCGACTGTAAGCATAACAGAGTGCTTGCATGTCGATTCATTTTGCAGACCCCGCCCGCGGTGAGAATACGCGGCAATAACGCGAAAAGAGTTAAGCTCCCATCGAGACCGCGCGTCCAGCGCTTCCAAACCCCCGTCTGTTCAGAAATCCAAGGGTCCCGGTGATACTTTAAGCATATCTATTAGACTATCGGGAAACCGGCTGATCATGATCTATGACGGAGGTGTTATGCTGTTTAGGGGTGACTGGTGGTGTCTGTCTAAGTTTCAAGATTACTCACATACTAACCTTATCTACAACTACATATCAACCGTGGCAGGGCGCAGACAAGCACCAAGACCGCCAAGCAAGTCAAAAAAGAGGCTTTGCGCAGACGACTATCTTTGGCACGACCTCATGAGCCCGCCTGGGGCAGATGTTTGCCCGTTGACGTAGGGAGGAAATCTGTCAGTTCCCCTTCGGGGACGCCCGCTGTCCTGATGGATGAAGAAGACCGACCCCCTCTGCGCCTCTTAAAATGAACGACCGCCCGGCGTCGTCTCGAACCCATCACGGACGAACACTTTCTTTTCTCTTTCCGGCAGCAGTGTGAAGAGAGACAGACCATGGACGCCAAAGACAACCAGAACTACCGCAACGCCATCAGCCTTGACTACCTGCACCCGGCCGAGCCGCGGACGGAGGCCGACTACAGGCAGGACAAGCAGGACCTCCCACCCAGCACGTCGGCTTCCGAGCCGGCCACCATGCTCAACGTGCCTCTGGATGGGGCGTACAGCCAGGGCGACCCGGAGCCAATGGACCCCAAGCTGGCCAAGATGAGGAAGCAGGCGCGCTGGGCCCTCCTCGCCATGGCCTTCTTCATGGGCGACGTGCAGGAGGGCCTGGGACCCTTCCTTGGTGTGTACCTCCAGGATCACAACTGGGCTCCCGGGATGCGCGGCTCGGTCGTCGCCATGAGCCACGTGGCGACCATCATCATGAGCGGACCGATCGGTGCGCTTATAGACGCGACGAGGTGAGTGTGTGTGTGTGTGTGTGTGTGTGTCTTGAAAGAAGCATTTGACGGAACCTCCCTCCTCGTCTTGTCTGAAGGTAGACTGATCATTACCCTCCTCCCCCTTTAGGTATAAGCGTGCCCTCGTCGCCACGTTCGCATGCACCGTTGGCACGTGCCAGGGTCTTAACCTTCTCTCCACGCACCCGGCCTGCGTCTTCACTACGCAGATGGTGTCGGCCGTCGCGGGCGCCAGCCTGATCCCCCTGCTCGTGGCCCTCACAATGGGTGTGTGCACCGAGGATCCCGAAGGCGCCGACGCCGACGCCGCCGCCGTCGTGCCCGCCACGGGAGGCAAGGACAAGGGCAAGAAGAAGAAGAACAAGCACAGCTTCATCGCTCTCAACGGGCGCAACCAGGCGTCCAACCACCTGGGCAACATGATCACGGCGGGCGCGGCGGGCGCGCTCGGCCAGAAGTTCGGGCTGCCGGCCGTCTTCTACCTGGTCATCGCCTGCTGCGCCTGCACTATGGCCATCGTCTGGCTCATCCCCGAGGGCGCCATCGACCACGCGGCGGCGAGAGGCCGCGTGCCCGTCGACTCGGAGACAGACGACAACAACAGCCAGCACCACCAGGACATGCAGGAGAGAGGGGCGGCGGGCAAGAAGGGCGGCTTCCACCTGCCCGGGCTGGGCAAGAACAAGAAGAAGAAGAACGCCGACAGCTCGCTCATGATCCTGGTCAAGAACAAGCCGCTGGCCATCGTAGCCGTCACCGTGTTCCTGTTCCACCTCGGGAACGCCTGCATCCTCTACATCTACGGCCAGGCGCTCGTTGTCGCGGGCGAGGGCGACCCGGCGCAGACGACGGGGCTGACGGTCATCATCGCGCAGGCCACCATGACCATCATGTCGGTGCTGACGGCGTGGGTCGCCGACCGCAGCGGATACTGGTACCTCGTCATGCTCTCCTACATCGTGCTGCCCATCCGCGCCGTGCTCGCCGGAAAGGTCATCAAGTACTGGGCCATCTGGCCGGTGCAGATCCTCGACGGCATCGCCCACGGCATCCTCAGCGTCGCGACCCCGGGCATGGTGGCCATGATCATGGCCGGCACCGGCCGCATCAACGTCGCCTACGGCATCGCCGGCAACATGACGCGCCAGTCGGGCTCCGCCATCTCGCACTCGCTCGGCGGCTGGATGTCCGAGGTCAAGGGCTACAACTTCGCCATCATGCTGTGCGGCGTCTTCCCGGCCGTCGGCCTCATCATCTGGCTCGCGACCTTCAGGCTCCTGCGGCCGCTCGTCGACATCAAGAAGGCCCCGAAAGAGTAGTCCTGCCCCCCCCGGTCCCTCGTCCGTTGGTCCCGGATCCATCTAGAAAAGAACCGTATTCTTGTCAAGACCATGCAGCTTCCCACCTGCTGCTCTCCCTTCCCTTACTCCCAATGTCTCCCTCACGCTATCTCATTCTGTCTCTCTGTCTCTCTCTCTACACTTTCTAATTAGTTAGTCGCCCTCGTCTTCTGGTTAGTTGTAGAATACCCATTAAAAACCTTTCGACTAGGTTGTCATAAATTGTAACCCGTTGGCTATGCTTCTCCCTTCTCTCTCTCTCTCTCATATGTGAAGATGAATAGGTTGTTGGATATCACTGCCTAGCCTCGTGAACCGTCCTCGCTAGCCGGGTCAAACGTGACATGCCGCTATTCCTTGTTCCCGGAACTAAAGATGAACCGTAACTAGCGGGATGCCACCGCTTTTGATTATCAATGTTTCTCTAAGCACACATCGTGGCACTCTGCCCTCTGGCGACAACACCCGACGCGGTTAACAGCGACTTGGTCAACCGTATAACGAGAACTTGTAAGAAGGGTTTGAAAATCTGGGACGGGTCCCGCGGGAAATTGCCTTCTTTTACATCCGGAAATGGCTGAGTAGATGATCATTAAAGATCATTTCTGCGTCCTCCGTCGTATAAGCAGGACACACGGCCTGAGGAAGAAACAGCCCCTTCTCGTGCCATAAACGGCGGCGCAGCTGAGACGAAGGAGCCCAGATGTCTGGACCCCCTCCGACCAAAAAAAAGGCAATCGTGGATCGTGACTAATAGTGCGGCCGGTAGGCCGGTTTGGGTCCCAGAATGTTGGGGTTTTGTGACTCAGGACCTGTCGGGTGACAGAGACGTGCGACCAAGTTCGGAAACGTGGGGAGGATGCTTTGAAGAAGAAGAAGAAGGGACGGCGGTCCCGGGCTCGGAATGCTGACCAGGGATACTTATACTGAGTAGCCCGGACATTGTTGGTCACGCTGAGCAGGAACAACGTCCGGGTTCTCCAGAACCTCAGAGATGCATCTGGATAGCTGATGCTGTGCTATTGGTCTGGTTCATTACGAACGAGCAAAGTAACAAAGACCATTAATGGCTTTTCCCTCTGGCTTCCGTAACCTTAAAAGAAACCAGACAGCGTGCCATAAGCCGTAGCCACTCGACCTATATAAACTTGGGCTCGGCTCTATCCAATGCTTACACCGCCAGAGACATGGCCCGGTGAGGTTTCTCGGTGTGCTGAGAGAGGCTAACCGAGGGCTGCCCAGCCGGAAACTGCGCGAGGCTGGCTGTAATTCCGGCTCCGCAGACAAGGTTTGCTTTGTGGACTTGAGAAACTTCACCCGCTTTCAGGGTTATCGTCCAAAAGGGCTTGTAAGCAAGTGTGCGCGATGCGAGATGGGTCAAATAGGAGCAGCATGAGCGGGCAATTGACCACAGACGCGTGGAACCTACTCAGCCTCGGCTGGTGTCATCAAGAGATGGTTGAAACATCATGCCTTGTCTGGGCCAAGTCTGCCATGGCTGTGTGACCGATGGAATATGCACGAGTCTGGTGTGCTTGAAGGCGAGAGATCTAACGGGCTGGACTTGAGGTCATAACGGACCAAAGCGAGCGAGCCGGAGCTGCCTTTGTATACTTCTATTGTCTCGCCGTCATAATGGTCTCATCGCTGAAGCCGTGCATGTGTAAGCCTTACACTTGACAGTAAACAAGACCCGACTCCCCCTGGTTTGTATATAACTTGGGCATCATCCCTCAGATAGGAATTGTTCATCCTCGGTTTGCCAACTCGAGTCGAGACTGGGACCTCTTATATCTGCCAAGACCCTTTGTGCAGCAAAGCCGCCAATTTTCCACCACTGGTATCGTTCGTTCCCCCCCTTCCATGCCGCGCCCGACCCCGGCGCAGGTCATCGCGCATCACATCCTCGGGTTAAAACCTCCCGCAAGCGAAGCGATTGTCCAAAAAGAAGAAAATAAATCATTAACCATTCCTCGACGGTTCTCTTCACCTGCGCCAAAAACCACCCTCTCTCCCTCGTCTTCCAGCATCAATTCCCTCCCCCCCAAAATGTCCCTTTCCGACCACGCCCAGAAGCTCACAAGCTCGCTCGAGCAAGCCAAGCTCGTGCCCGGCCCGGCCGGCGCCCTCATCCCCGCGGGTTTCCAGCCGACGACGAAGCTCGAGGTGTCGTTCGCGGGCAAGGCCGTCGACGCCGGCAACTTCTTCCGGGCGGGCGAGTGCAGGGTGGCGCCGAGCGTCTCGTTCGCGGGCGAGGCCGGGGCGCCGCCGGGCGCGTGCTACACGCTCTTCCTGACGGACCCGGACGCGCCGACCCCGGACGACCCGCAGTTCGCCTTCTGGCGCCACTGGGTCGTCCCCGGGCTGCAGCCGCTCAGCGGCGGCGGCGGCGGCGGCGTCGTCGCGCAGGGGAAGCCGGCGCTGACGGAGTTTCTCGGGCCCGGGCCCAAAGACGAGTGAGTTTTTGTTTTCCAACGTCTTGGAACTTCTCATTTTTTTCAGGCGAGGAACGGCACATACGTACGGGCTGTTGATCCGACGCTAACACGAGTCTCGCCGTTCTCTCGCAGTTCCAAGCCGCACCGCTACCTCTTCCTGCTCTACCGGGAGCCCCATGGCCAGGATCTCAGGAAGGAGGACGTCGGCGGGGAGGAGTTCGTCGAGAGACGGTCATGGAAGCCCGCCGAGTTTGCCGAGAGGCATGGTCTGAAGCTGGTCGGCGTCAACTGGATGACGTGCGCCGGCGACGGCTGGACCGAGTAAGTCGGGGGGGAGAGGGTTTGCGTGGGGTGCGCGCCGGTTAGAGTTCCCACAACATCAGCAAAGGCATCCAAAAGCCTGCAGGTCAACTTCTAGAAGCCCTATAATTAGAAAGCTAAAAATACACAGGGCGTAATCTGTGCCGTTCTCTCTGTCTTCGTTCACGGCATCGCCTGTGCAAAGTCGATGGGCGGTAAAATCGACGGCCCCGACAGCAACTAGCGAGGTTGAATGGTCTTATAGTCTAGTTGGTTAGGACGTCGGATTCTGATTGCCTTCAGATCTTTCCGTAGGCCCAGGTTCAAATCCTGGTAGGACCTATTGTTTTGCTTTGCTGTATATATATGTGTATATATCCAGGCTGGGATGCAAGGTGCACGTCGGGCGATGCATTTGCTGCTTTTTTGCTTTTGTGACGCATCTTTCTAATCCAATAAGGAATTTCTCAGAAGTACTAGAATTATTAACAAGAGGATAGATGTATTAATAGATGGCATTGCTAGATAGTTGAGCAGGGAAAGGTGGAAAACATGGCCATCATTCTTTTTTATCTGCATTGCTTCTTTTCCATTCATTTTCTCTTCGGCTGTTTGCTACAGTGGCCTGTGCCCGTCTCTAGGGACCCTGGACCCCTGACGCGATCTCAGTTCCAGGGGACCTGTCACCGGAATCGACGCTAAAGCTCGGCCGTCACCTTCGCCTTGCGACGCGTCTTCCCAGTCGTCGCGTCTCGCACTTACAACAAACCCAATCATGATACAGCGCGGCATTGTGCGCCGCCAAAGCTCGCTCGCTGCGGCAAAGAGGATCTTGGCCCAAGCCGACGACGAGCCGGATAATGAGCCGGCGAAAGCAATATCCAGGACGCGCAGAGCCGCCGCCAAACCACCGCCGCCGCTGCCACGGAAAGACGCGTCCGAGGCGGACTTCACGCCCCCCGTCGACGAGGATGGAGTGAACGAGACTGCAGAACCGCTGCCCAAGCGGCGCAAAGTTGAAAAGACGCGGAAATCAGACACGGAGAAGCTTCACGCAAGCCTCTTCGGCTCATCCGGACAGGCGACGCCGGACCCCTGCCCGCCCCCGGCGAGAGCCCACGCCGCCGGCTATCACCGTCCTCTGCTGCTGGACGGCCGGCCCGGGCGCGACGGGAGAGACGCCCTCCTCGCCTGGTTCGACGCCACCAGCACCGCCCGCGGCATGCCGTGGCGCAAGGCCTGGATCGACCCGCGGCGCTCCCACCCGGACGGCGCCGCCGGCCTCCGCGCCGCCCTCGAGAGGCGCGCCTACGAGGTCTGGATCAGCGAGATCATGCTGCAGCAGACCCGCGTCGCCGTCGTCATCGACTACTGGAACCGCTGGATGGCGCGGTGGCCGACGATCCGGGACCTCGCCGCCGCCGCCCCCGAGGACGTGCTGGCCGCCTGGCGCGGCCTGGGCTACTACAGCCGCGCGACGAGGATCCACGAGGCCGCCAAGCTCGTCGTCGCCGACCCGGGCTGGGCGGGCCTGATGCCGGCCGACACCGCCGAGCTCGAGGCCAAGGTCCCCGGCGTCGGCCGCTACACCGCCGGCGCCATCGCCGCCATCGTCTTCGGCCGGGCCGCCCCCATGGTCGACGGGAACGTGCTCCGGGTGCTGAGCCGGCAGCTGGGCGTGTTCGGCAACGCCAAGACGGACAAGGCCGTCATCGACCTGCTCTGGGCCGCCGCCGACGCCCTCGTCAAGGCCGTCGCGGGAGACGACCCTCAAGACGCCCGGGTTGAGGACGAGGAGGCGCCGCCCCCGACAAGCGATCGGCCGGGGCGCTGGGGCCAGGCGTTGATGGAGCTCGGGAGCACCGTGTGCACGCCGAAGCCGAACTGCGGCGCGTGTCCCGTCACTTCGACCTGCCGCGCCTACGCAGAAGGCTTGCTGGTGGCCGCGAAACCGACGAGAGCCGCAAAGGTGGAGGACATTGAGGACCTGTGCTCGATATGCGAGCCCTTCGAGGAGGAGGCGGCGGCGGCGGCGGAGGAGGAGGAGCAGGCTGCCCTCTCCGGGCAAGACTCGGACGCGAAAGCGCCGAAGGCGGTCAAGGGGGGCAAAGAGGCCGGCAAGGGGACGAGGTCTCGGCCGGTCGCGAAGCAGGCCACCCTGTCCGCCTTCTTCTCCTCCTCCTCCTCCAAGACGGCCAAAGAGGAACAAGAACCGGCCTCGCCGGGACGGCGGGCGGCCGACGCGAGAACCCTGGAGACCGTCGCCGAGCACGCCAGGAAGTTCCCGCTCAAGGTGGTCAAGAAGGCGGTGCGCGAGGAAGAGGCCCTCGTCTGCGCCGTCCGCCGCCGCAGCGACGGGCGCTTCCTGGTCCACCGGCGCCCGGACAAGGGGCTCCTCGCCGGGATGTGGGAGCTGCCGAGCCACACGCTGCCGGCGGCGGCGGCGGCGGCGGCGGCGAGCAACACGGCGTCGTCGAGGAAGCGGGACGCGCAGGGGTACGTCTCGGGTCTGATCCTCGGCGACGGCGACGGCGGCGAGAGGCAGAAGGCGAGGGCCAAGGACGGGCCGCGGGCGCGGCACGTCGCGGACCTCGGCAGCGTGCCGTGGCTGTTCTCGCACATCAAGCTGACGATGCACGTGCACCTCTTCGAAGTGGACGGGGAGGGGGGGTGCGTGTCGGCGCATGCGAGGCACCGGTGGGCCACGGCGGAGGAGGTGGACGAGGAGTCGATGGGGACCGGGATGCGCAAGTGCTGGGCCCTCGTGAAGGAGAGGATCGAGGAGTAGACGCGGAAACCCGTCTCGTCTGGGTTTGACTTGCGTGGGTTGTTGCCGGCGGGTTGCGCATACGTATTCTGGTATCGTAGATTTAATCACGTAAACGGATGTCTATAGACCAATACCCCTCCCTATCCGGGGGCAGCACTTTTGGTGTTATGTAATGGCAAAACGTCATGCTACCAAGTTGTGTCTGCATGATTCAGGCGTCCTATCCTGCTTTTGTCCCGGAGATCGGGTAGCGTGCGGTCTCGCTCCGTCCCGGCACCCCCTCGGTGAGACATCCAGAGCACGCCGGGGTTGCGGGGCTTGCCTGCCGCCGTATTCGACTCAAGACTCAACCGTTCGGGAGCGCCCGGGTCCCGTCCGCCGACCTCCCCGTCCACCCCCTTCGCACCTCCGTGATGGTGCACCGCTGATGCCGGTTCATCCCCGGGAAAAGGCGGACGTTCCTCCTTTTCGTGTTGGATGCGGATACATCGGTGCCGTGGGCTCGTTCGCATACAATCTGTTTCCAATTCTTGGGCTCGCACCTGCGCCCAACCTCTCAACCCCCATTGCAACAGGCCCTGGCCCGGCTAGCTAAATCGGGAGAGGGTGTGACCCTTAATCTCAAGGTTGTGAGGTCGACCCGTAAGCACCAGTTTGCATCGTTACGGTCTCTACAGAACAAGCATCACTAACACGTGCCAGCCACGTCGGGCTCAATCCCCGTCAGCGAATGAATTAGCAACTCTCTCTCTCTCTCTCTCTCTTTCTCTCTCTCTCTCTTTCTCTCCCTCTCTCTTTCTCTCTCTCTCTCTCTCTCTCTCTCTCTCTCTCTCTCTCTCTCTCTCTCTTTCTCTCTCTCTCCCTCTATCTGTTGCCACTTGGTTGAATCTCATATATCGTGGATAGTCACCTGTTCTATAAAAGGAGTGAGCCGCGGAAAAAAGGTGGTGTCGAGCATCGCGACGATCCCTATAAGTCGCGAGGTGGATTGTCTCGGTGCCTTCGTCCCCAAGCAAGCACGCCGCTGTTCTACCTTCTTTCGACCAAGAGACAAGCTCAACTCTGGCCAAATCGGCTGCGCCAAGTAGATTAGACTAGAAGGTTACCTTCTTGGCGCGGGGCAACCCTGAAGGTGCAGTGCTTCTGTCTCTCGACCGAAGCCACCCTTTCCCCAAAAAGCCAAGCAGCTTGGCACAATCGGCATTTTAGCAAACCACGCCCTAACCCCAGAAGACTAATATAGCAAGATCCTTCGCCGAGAAACGATCACTGCATGGGGGGCTCTTTTTGGGGGCAAGGAGAGTGCACGAAGCTAAATGGGATATTTATTCTGGTCTAGGGTGACGGCGGCAACCACAAACGCGGATGGGGCTACAGCGTATCCTCTGTTCGGTAGATGGAATGTTGCATGTTGGCGTGCAAACGAAACCGCCCTCGGTCCCGAGAAAGTAGGGGGGGCATTTTGGAAACTGCCATTCTGTTTGTTCGGGCCAGACTCGACATGTCACTCGGAACTGAGTATTATCGGCTGTTGAACACCCCGTTGCCACCTCTCCAACCCCAAGATTCGCCCGGGGCTGACACAGTAAAAAAAAGCAGACTCAATGCTGAACATGCTCTGCGAGGACCTTAAGCGGGACGAACCGGAGCACGTGGCGGCGCAGGCGGGTGAGTTCTACGGCATGGTGGTGCGGGCGAGGCCGGGGCGGCCGGGCGATACGCGGCGATGGCGGCCGAGAGGCTGGAGCGGTTTGCGGGGTACGACGACGACAGGACGGCGAGGACGAGAGACCTTTGGAGGAAACTGGGGAAAGTTGGAGGCGGCGTTGCGTGAGTGAGCAAGCTGCTTTAGAAACGAGCCAGGGTTAACATGTTCGCGTTCCTGATTCGGATAGAGGCAGGCGAGAGAGAGCCCGGCTATTCGACCAAGCCCCTCTCGTTCGCGGAAGATGCCCAAAGCGAATCCCGAGGTTCCATGAGGGGGGGAGGGAGGGGGGAGGGGGTTAGAGAGAGGGTGGAAACATGGACCGGTGCGTAATGGGGAAGACTCATCGGGAAGAAGGATCCCCCTCGGCGCGAGCTGGGCCTCTGGGACGGCTATACGGCACCGAGGCCAGGGTCGTCAGCATTTCCTCTCGAATGCGGTTTAGAGTTGCGGGAAGATGCAGCCACGGCAACATCCCGTCGGGTTGCGATTGGGGTCTTCTGAGAAGGACTGGGCGCTGAAGACATATATGATATCGGAACACGCTGGGTTGGGGGAGATGAGGCTCTGGTCGACAAGCCCATATCTGCATCGCCAAGACGTCTTGGCGTCTTGGTGTGAACGTCGGCTTCAGCTTCGAAGATTTCGAAACCATAAAACAACATAGTTGACATATCAGAGCAAGATGACTCGCATGATCAGTATTCGTTCACATATAGCCCAATTTCTTTGCCTTGGATACCTGGGGGGGCGGGGATGAAGGCATTTTGAGCCTGCGTCACCGCGCCATGGCGTATGAAACGATGTCGATCTGCGAAGAAGGATATTATGCCACGACAAGCTTTCAGTCCAGCGACGATGGCTTTGATTTTTGCGCAATTTGCATTAACAAGGCCTTTCTGTTACAACACATGAGTTTTCAGTAGCTTTGGTACTTGAGTGACTGAAGGATGCCAGCGTCTTCTGCTTATTAGGAATCGTAGCGCATCGAGTGACACTCGGGCGATATCACGGCGGTTTGGCCTGATAACTCACCACGTCAACTGCGACCCAGACTCCTACAAACTCGAATAAACAGATTCCGTCACCGTAGCTTCAAAAAGCAAAAGAGGAAGGAAAAAAAGTTGAACCATATGCGCATCCAGTGGATCGCCTCCGCAACCTGCGGCGCCGCCGCCAAGGGTGCAAGGGGATGGATGCACGTCGCCGTGATGCGGCGCGGTGTATGCGCGGGTGTTGACGAGCGGTGGCGTGTGCTTCTTTGGCTCGTGCAGGGCGGTTGTCACGCTCCCCGCGCATGGAGCAGCAGGGGGGCCGTCGTCGTGCCGTGTGCGACGTCTGCGGCGTCGACGAGGACCCGGAAGAGATGATGCTGCTGCTGCGGGCGTTTGACGACGCTTTCGCGGCCGAATTGGGCCGTCGCATTGGGCGGGAGCCATTCCAATAAGTGCAGCCGAGGGCTTGTGGAGGGGAACGGTTGGGGATGAACTAGGAGGTCGTAGGGCCACCTCGGAGAGAGTGTATGCCAAGGAGCGTTGTCACGTAGAATGAATCGCGTGTTTGCAATCATGTCTTGCCGTGAGCGTGCAGAACCAAACTAGCAGATAGGGAGAAAAGCAGGGTTCCGGACCGTCGATCTGTCGAGCTCGCGTTCTATTCTGAACCCCGAGACCTGGATATGCGGGACGGGACGGGCGTCTGCAGTGAGCAAGCAGAATCCTCTGGCCGGACGTGCAGTAATACCATTGCTGCCACATCCTGCATATCGTACGAGACCAAGGTCTCGGCCCAGTCTTACTACTTACCGGCCTGGTCCAGCATGGCTAGGGCGGGGATCGGGAGATGCCTGGAGAAGATGTGACCCAGTATGATGAGGGCGTCCTCCACTTATCTCTCCACCACGTAATGAGCTAACGGATGGTGTTGATGTCGGTCAGAGATTTCGTGTTGTTGGAGTGGGTAAAGCAAGTCTCGCCATGTTCAACCAGGCGTTTGTGTGTGTGTGTGTGTGTGTGTGTGTGTGTGTGTGTGTGTAAGAGAGTGAGAGAGTGAGATAGAGTGAGTGAGAGAGTGAGATAGAGTGAGAGAGTGAGGGAAGCATCTAGCGTGGCTTACAAGTTGGGCTCAGATGTTTCCCCACCAATTTCCCCCATACGGTCTCCATAGAAGGAAGCTTCTCTTCGCGGGGACGGACTCTGGGGTCCAAATGTGGTTTACTGCTAGCAGCGGAGACATAAACCACATCGTACGTGAGGGGGGCCTGGGGGTGGTAGACGGACGGGGGAACGACACGGGCCCACGAACAACCAGCACAATCATCATCGTTCCGGTTGGCGGACACGAAGAACAAGCTTTCTTCTACTAGGTGCGGAACCCCCCCCAAAAGTCATGGCCAGGTCCCAATGTCTTACCAATACAGGTTCTTTGTTGTGTCCACCGACGTCGAGCCGAAAGAAAAAAACGTGCGGTCCGATAAGCCTCCCCCCCACGGAATCAGCAGACCGGGGCCCATGACTCGATGCGGAGGCCCGCTCCCGTGGGAAGGACGACATGAAGGCCGCCCTCACGGAAGTTGGCCGAGAGGCAGTCGTTCCCGCGGGTCTGGTCCCATCGACTTAGTCGCGAGACGGCGAGCTGCGATGTCGACCGCTGACTGAGTCCGCGCGCTTTTCTCCTCTCCCTCTCTCTCTCTCTCTCTCTCTCCATCTTCCCTTCTCCATCTCTCTCTCCATCCCCCACCCCCATCTTTCTTGCGTAGCCAAGCTCAAACAAGCACTTTTGATTTGGGGCCATCCGGGGTTCCTCACAGATGCGTACGTGCACGCACCGAGTTACGGATACGGGACATGGGTCACCGGCAGATGTGGAGCGCGCCTGGTTTTCCTCCCGTTTCCTCTCCCCATATCCATCCTCCTTTGTGGTCAGCAGACTTGTCTCCCTACCCTAGTCGACGAGTCATAACGAAGGCATTCCGCAAACGAACTTGGGGAAGGGAAGGGGGTCGCCATCACACCGTAAACTCTGCGGAGAAAGGCTGATCTGTGCGTTTCGTCTCCAAGTCCCCCCTCTGTTGCTTTACATGATGCCAGGGAAGAGGAGATAGCCAAGCATACCGCCAACGATTGCAGATGCATGCATGCATACTGTACATGCATGCACTTAAACACACATACACTGCCGTCGCGACCGACTTGGCTTCCTCGGCGCCTCTTGGCTGGGTACCTTGGCACGGCCCGGTAGGTCCACCACGTCACTTTTCAATGGCCGATAGCCTTTGTTTGTTCGAACTCTTGGTCTAATCCAGTGACGCCGAACGGTTCCACGCAGGCGCGCCGGCGTGGAAACAAGCTTTAGGGCAATCTCTTGGCTTTGCCACCCTCAACACTCAACGTCGCCGGTGTAAGCGCCGCCGGTGGCCTTTCGCGGTTCGGCCTGGTGCATAGGACAAAAGCGAGGCGTAGAAACCGAGCTT